ACTGAATCGGGAATACACTACAGTCTTTTTCCAAGTGGGGTCTCACTGCCAGTCTAGACTGTGAACGAATAGTTTAGTCTTATAAGGAACCGATAGGTGATCTTTCTGTTCAAAACTCTGCGAACCACACTACCTCAATATAAGACATGGAGTATGTATTGCATAAATAAATAAACTGCAAACATATTTACTTTGACTGAAACATGATTGCCAGATCAAAATGGAATTGATAGAAACTGCAAAACACAGCTTTTACAGCATACCTCTAACAGGACCATCCGTGACCCATCTCGAAAGAGAAAGGTTTAGTACCGAGGGAATCTCTAGTGTATGAGATCACTCGGGAAAATTAGAACCTCAGTCGTCGAGGACCGGGAGTGTCGTTTAGATTCCGCGATTTTGGTTACTAATCGTCCCCCATAGTTTAGGAGAATCTAATGTGTATCACTGCCGTAACTCTTGAGAGTGGCTAAGCCTCGAGGGGGACGATGGTTGATAATTCTCGTATGTTAGATCGAGCGTATGTCCTGAAGACTGATGCATGGATGAAAGACGACGACGTTGTCCATAGGACGAGTGGATTGCTCCGACATCGCGTGAATATCTTGTGATTTGGCTGCGAGGCACACAGTTGGAAAAGGTATGAATTTTTTAGCATCATGTTGTGGCTCTATATGACTCGAGATGTTAAAATTGATGTTATAAAAAGCATGCTTATATGATTGAACTTGACGATTATTGCACGACTGGGATTCTTTAAAACATGTTATGTGGTGATTATATGAGTTTATGTGAATTTGTTTTAAAAATCATGTTAGGACTAACCTCCCTATATCTTATATGTGCGTATTTGAGATATACGTTATGATTATACATGGCTTGATGATGCTCGGTTCATGAGTGTATGATTTTGGGTTAGTATTTAATTGAAAACTCCATGTTCTCGTGACCTACAAGCTGTTTTCTGGTTAGGGTTCTTCATAAATTTTGTAGTGCTTTGAGTTAGGTTTCTACGAGTTTTGGAATTTCATAATTCGGAGTTGAATTGAATTTGTTATGAATTTTTTAAATTGAAACTACAAGCAGTTTTTGAAATTCCGGGCAGAATTGTGAATCATGATGTTGGGCTGTTTTTGACAATGTTAATGTTACTATGTGAAAATATGATCATGAAACTTGTAGTACATGTTATAAGCTTTCTTTGGAAGTTGAAATCTTGCAATTTGGTGTTTTAATTGATTTTATATGATTTTTCAAAGTTGGAGTTATGCCCAAAATTTTTAAAATAGTGGTTGTATTTACGATTGAGATGTATGCTCTGAAATGAGGCCCCTAACGTGATTATTTGTAAAGATGTCCTTCGTGGAACTTGTACCAATTCAAGTGTAGTTTCTGTAGGTTTTGAGTTTGCATGATTCGAAGTTTTATGGCATTAGATATTCCTGTTTTAGTGAACTGCTGCAAATTTACAAATAGTTTCGTTGGCAGATTTCTTGACCTAAATGTTTTAAAGTTATTTTTTGGCTTAAGTGATCAACATGAAAGTTGTAGAGTTAGCTATATTGGAGATTTTGAATTTCAGTAATATAATGTTTGTAGCTTCGATTGTTGTGCATACACTGAGAACCTGTCAAGCTGTATGTCTTCATTTATCCACTACACCTACGTTTTGTATGTTTGTTGTATTATGTGCATTTAAATGATTTTATCTGCCTGAGTGTTCTTCATGAATGTGATAGGGGCCTGAGTTAGGGATATTTTTCAAGTGGTTTCATCATGATGCGATATCTAGACTAAAAGATACATGCATCTTAAATTCATCACGCATGCTGAAATTGGTGCAAGTTCATATTTAGGTTTCCAAATTGAGTGGTGAATTTCAAAATTAGCTTTTCGTCAATGTTCATGTATATGTACCCTACGTGACTATTTCCTGCTTTGAATTGCGATCATGATTTAAATGTTTGCTGAAAAATATATGATCGAACGACCTTGTATGCTTGTGTGATTTGAATGAGAATTATAGCCGCATGTCTTAGGATTTATATTCGTCTTAAATCATGATTATATGATGGGTATGTTGCAAGTTATATATCTGATAACAGGATGTTTGTACTATGTGATTTTAGTAAACATGAGTTATGTTTTCGAAAATAAGTGTTACCTTCAATATGCATGCCTATGTGCCTTATATGAATTAACTTGTTTGTTGTCGTATCAGTGTCGACTGGAAACACTTGCGAGAAAAACTTTGTGCTAAGATCTCGAAGTGTGGGAATTATAGGTAGTGTTTGTGGTTGAACTCGTTTAGGACTACCGGCATGATTAGCTACCTGAGTAAAAGCTGTCGTGATGGCCGACACTGTTAGTCGGTAGAGTCAAACGAGCTAACCATTCTGTTGTTCGGTGTTGAACGCCGAGTTAGAACTTTTCCTGGCAGTGATGCCAATGTTCGATTCCTTTTGGGGAAATTGTTGTTGTCAAACCCTTTGTCCTGTCGGAGTACTTAAGATTGTGAGATTCGGAAATTGAAATTTCTGGTATATGCCTCGAACTGAGTGCCGAACCTGACTGGGTGTAGCCACGCGAAGTGGTGGCCGAGCCCGCACGCCCGTGCTGAGAGACGTGAGGCCAACTGTAGTGGCTGATTGTTGACTCGCACGAGAGCTGCCGCCGCCATCACCGAACGCCAAACTCCCTAGGTCAGTGTGTACGGCCAAACCTTGACCTTATAGCTGGTATCCGATTGGGTACATGCACGCGTCCCAGCACCCCGCATATGCAGCGCCAGCGTGTGTGTCACCTCTCGGGTGACAGTGCATTAAACCCAGTCCGACCCTATCCTTTTAGGGGTCTTTGAACCAGATCTTGGTCAAAGTGTATGTTGATCTTTTGAGTCGTTGTGCGAATGCCCTAATAAACAATCCCCAGTTTATAAGGTTTGTTGATTAGTTTCTCAGGCCACATGCGAGATTTTCTCGAGATGGCGAGATAGTAGTTTCCGTAGTAATGTGGAGGCGGAGCCTTGAGTCTCGACTGGAGATCGACTCCGTAGAATCACTATTGAGTATCTTGTCGTTACTCCCGAAGCCGCATACGAGGTGTTACTCGTGTCGGCAATGGGTGAGGCCTTATCATCGGTATAAAACAGAATCATGTGTTCTGAATGTACCAGTTTGAGTATAAGTGTCGATTGTCTGTCCTATCCTGGTTTCTCGACCAAGTCAATAGCTTGGCCTGATGGTTGACTCCACCACCGGGACTTGCGAGAATGATGACACGTTCTAGCCTCGTGTTGGAGGGAATGTGTGCGCGATCTCGAGGTATGTGTGAATTGGCGAGCTGCGTGATAGGCAGAACCCTACCTGTATGGAGGTACCGGTGACCTGTTGAGACCGATGGTCCATCAGGGAAAGACCGGGAGGGGTACTCGTCAAAGTCCAGTAGTGGTAGCCGAGTCGAGGGCGAGACGGCTTGGGAGAGGGAAACCGAGATTCGGAGGGAGTACCGAACACCTTGTGTTGATATTCCCCTTGTATTCTGGTAGTTTTATTTTCGAATTCTGAGGTCGGAATTCTTTGTAAGGTGGGTAGACTGTAACGCCCCGTTCGTTTATGAATAAATTGGATTTTAGTATTATTATTATTATTATTATTATTATTATTATTATTATTATTATTATTATTATTATTATTATTATTATTATTATTATTATTATTATTGCCATTAATATTAATTGAAATTTGTCTAATTGCCTAAATGAATTTATGTGCCTAATTGTGTATTTAAAATAAATATTAATTGTGGAGATTTATTATAATTATTAAATACTATTTTAAATAATATTTATTTTAATTTAACCGTCGAGCCGAGCCGCGCCCGTGGCCACGCCCAAGACCTAGCCGCCCCTCCCCTCTCTTTTCCTTGTATGTTTGGTAAGTGGATCAAGTGTGGAGCCTTCCTTTTTCCTTTCCTTGAATTATTTTTGGTAAGTAGCTTGATTGTGGATCTTTCCTTTTTCCCTTTGATGTTGATTTTGGCAATTGCATCATTTTGGGATCCTACCCATATCAAGAGAGCTCTATTTATGGGAGAGATTTCTCCCTCTCCTCGTCTATTTTCTTTTCCTCCAAGCCGCTCTCTCATATCTCTCTCGTTCCTCTCATCCCTCTCTCACTCTCTCTATTTTTCTTTTTTTTTTTCCTTCGCTGCTCGCCGCCCCGATCGCCCGTCGTGCCCCTCCGCTGCCGTCCATCACACGATCGCCCGTCGCTACCATCACGCAAGCCAGGCCTTCGTCGTTCGCGCGATCCATCGCTGCCCAACGCCCAGCAGTCGTCCGCGGACCCTCCAACGACCAGCAGTCACGCGCAAGTCGGCCCGAACGCAGTAGCTGCCGTGCGGTACGACCACGCCGGCCCTTCTCGATCTCCTCTCGGCCCTTATTTCGTTCCAATACCCCGAGAACGGTACAAGTCTCAAAACCCTCTTATTTTATATGTGTATATGATGTATGTATCAAGCCTTAGATGATTTACCTATTAGGGTTTGATTAATGGTCCATTTAACTTCATGTTTCGTTCGTTATTTGTGTTCATATGTGATTTATGCTTAAATCGTGAAGAGGGCTGCGGATTTTTGGAAAATTTGAAATCTTTGGCCTCATGGTGAAGCCCTTAGATGAAATTGTTGAGTAAAATGTTAATTATGCATTTTTGAATCGAGTAGTGCTGCTGAATATTCGAAAAATCATTTAAAATCGTATACTCGTCCGATTGTTGTAAAACTTGAACTGTATTACCTTCTTACTGTGATATATGTTGTGTAAATATTTCAAGTCAAAATGAGGTCTGTAGCTATGTCAAAGGTCGATATGAAATTTTGGATAGAAACTTTGGAAAATCATTAAAAATCATATTCTTAGAATTTTGCGGTGATTTTTTGTGAGTGTTAGTAATCTGATGATATGTGTGTTATGTCCAAATTTCGTTGAAAAATTCAAAGGATTGCTCGGTGAACTAGAAAGTTCAGATTTTCATCGTCTTTTCGTAAAAATTGGTTGTTTATGTTAAACTGAAGAGTTGATTCTTAAACCTTGTAAAAACATACCTTTCTAGGTCTATTTTAAGGTGTAAAAATTTTAAGTAAATTGGTCGAGTGAATTTTGAAATCGGTCGGCCCTATTTGAAACCCTGCTTGTCTGTCGGGCCCTGTGCACTGCTGCCAGTGCACGCCAGCGCCCCAGCGCACGCTAGCGCGCACGCACAGCGTGATGAAGGATCGGATGTTCGTGTCCTCGACTTGTCTCGATCACGGCTTCGCCACGGCCTTGCTCTCGACGATAGGTGTGATCGACTCGGTTATTAGCCTAACCCTCTCACGATACTTGAGTTCACTTGGTTATTAGCCTCGTTTCACTCGCGAAATAGATCGGGTCTTAGCCTCTCTAATCGTTTGAACTGGTTCGGGTCTTAGCCTCACCAATTCGATTTGTATGATCGAATCTCACGACTCTCAACACACGGTTTGAACAAACGTTCTTTTCTATTCCATTGCAAGACTCCTTCAAAACAATGGGGGATGACCCCTATTTATAGATCCTAACTATGACTAATTCTAATCTACCTAGGAAACTAATTAAAGCAATTAAATATTAAATATCCTATACAATCTAGATATTATTGTGCAAGAAGGAAACTAAATATCTAAAGTCCTAAATTGACTAGATCTTGATTTTGCTTGGCTTGCACTCCAAACAAATCCAACTCACACGCCCCTTGTACTCGGCCGCCTCGCACACGCACGCCCTAACCGCCATTGCGCGCGCCGACCCTCCGAGTCCTAATCCTTGTCGCGCGCGGCATCGCGCGCGCGCGTCACGCACGCATCATCGTCCGCGCATGTCCGTTGTCCGCGGTCTTCCCCTCGCGCGTGTTCGCCCAGCGCTCCTAATCCTTCGAGGCGTAGGCCTCGTCCGCTATCCCCGCACGCGTCGTTCCTCGCGCACTTCCACTCGCTGTCAACTTCTCCCTGCGCGTGCCCCTCATCGCTCGGTTCTCCTAAGCCCACCAGGTTTAGGCATCGCGCATGTGCGCCCTGCTCGCGTGCTTCCGTCCGCGCGCCCTCGCTGTCGGCCCGTTCGCGCGCTTCCTCGCCAAATGCGCGGTTGCTGCCCACGCTCGATGCTCCCGCATCCTTCCCGCGCTCGCCTGCCCGCTCGCGCGTACCATCGACGCCCGTGCCCCGATCGCCTATCGCGCACCCGCGTACACCCGCGGTTCCTCGCGTCTCGCCGACCCCCGCAGCCTGCCTTCTTCCTGCGCATGGTCGCGCGTCACTTGCGTCCACCATCTCATCGCCGCCCCTCTGCTCAGCGCCCCGGCCCTTCGACCTCTTGCGCGCATCACCGCACGATGCGCGCCATACGCCCCATAGCTGGTCCTCACCGATTCCTTTGCCCCCTGACGGCCATGGGTCCAAACCAACCAACCCAATACAGTCTCCGGCACGCCATATCCAGCCATCTTCCATACCAATCCTTCCCCGCCTTTCAAACTCCGTGTGCCACGCCCGTTTCTTCCTCGTGCACGGCCCACAACATTGGCTTGCCTTTTGCGCCCTTGTTTTGCGTCGTCTTTTAGCCCGGCACTTCTTAACCTTCAACTCTGCCCGTGGACCACATCCCTTTGGCCAATCTCGTACGCATGATGGCCGAGATTTTGGACTTGATGGCTCTTCCAACATGTTCTCTAGCCATAAAACAAGACCATCGTCCTCCTCCTTGTCGGACTCGTCGGGGTTGATGACCACTTCCGTATCATTCCCCTCCT